ATGGGCCAACATTTCTAAAGAATGCTTTCAGCACCTTGTTGAATCAATGCCACGTAGAATTAAGGCAGTTCTGAAGGTGAAAGGGGGTTAAACACGGTATTAGTATGGTGTTCCTAATAATCCTTTAGGTGAGTGTATTTTGTTACTAATAGATTTTTAAATGTCAGCAATTTGATCTTAGCAGTCACAGAAACGTGAGGACTCATGTCCACCTAAGACCTGATATCATCTGAGCATGTCTTTAGAGGAGTTTTTTCTTCACACTGTGAAGAAAGTGAGCATTTCTCAGACTAAAGCATTCCATTAGTTGAATTAAGTTGGTATTAACGCTTCCAAAATTATTTATCCTACATTTGTTGAACCTACTGCAAAACTGCTCAAATGATATGAACACACCCCTGTCCCATTCTTCCCAAGAGTCCAGTCCAGGATCAGGAAAATTCAATGACTTCATGTGGAGATGAAGTAAGCATCTTACCTTTCACACAACACGTCCGTATCGTTCACATTTGTCTGCATTAGCATTTGCTGTGTCAGTGTGTAATACCACAGCAGTGTTTGTAGCGCCCCCCACCTGTTGTGTATAGAAATTACCTGGCTGTCACTGGCATGTAGCTGCAGTTAGGCTGGCATGCTGCTCCTACCCTGGCTGTTTGATGCACTGCTATACAGCGTGTAGCCCCAGTATTTCTCAGAGTGACAAGAACCAGTGTCCTTTCCAGGTGTGTGAAGAGGAGGGGATGGAGAAGAGCGAGTCACAGGAGGCCCTGGCCCCCGGAAAGTTGGAGATCAACTTTGAGGAGCTTCTCAAACAGAAGGAGGCAGCAGAGAAGAAGCGCAAGGAAGAGGAACGCAGGATGAAGATGGAGCAGGAGAAACATGAGTATGAGCAGCTCCGGCAGGAGATGGGAGAGGTTAGTGAGCCGGCCGAGAGATTTTACTGAGTGTTCTATCAGAAACATCAGGGATCAGTTTTATCAATCAAATCTCAATCTCTTTTCCACTTAAGGATGCCATGCTGGACCCATGTCAGACTCTATAGGTCATATGGGTACAGGGATAAGGCATTTTCTTGCTACACTGCAGCCTTTTAAAATCTCGCCTTCTTCGCCTCAGGAGGAAATAAACGAAAGCTCTCTGGTGGTAAGCAGAGAGTACGAGGAGCTGAGCAAGCTGAAGAGGATCGGCACGATACATGCCAAAAATCTGAAGTCAAAGTTTGAGCAAATCAAGCAGCTCAGCGAGGAAGAGATCCAGAAGAAGATCGAGGAGGAAAGAGCGCGAAGAAAGGCCATCGACCTCGAAATCAAGGAACGGGAAGCAGAAAGATTCCAGGAGGTACGCCATCCAGCATGACGTTCTCAGGCCGGATGGCCACCACCTTGGTTCATGAGAACAATGGTGATGTATGCTGGGATTTTTAGAATTATATAATGTTAGTTTTTTTTTTACAAGCCATACAGATCTAATGACCGGTAACTAGGTATCTCATGGGTTTTTGTAAAGTTCTAACAAAGTGAACATTCTGGACAGGCTACCCATTCCTGGCACTTACTCTCCAAGACTGTCTCAGGAGAGTGGAATCATCCTTGAGTGGGGGGGAAAAACGCACCAATAGCAGCGTTTGTCCAAAAGCAAAACAGACAGCCCAGTACAATAGATTCCCTCCTAATGGTGTGAAAGGGCAGGTCTTCTAGATCAAAGAACAAGCAAGCTATCCGAGAATCAGCAGTCTGGATAGCCTGGCTAATATACAAGTCTTTTTTGGGGGATCAGTGTGACGTGCAAACTGAGTTTCATCATAATTAATGCACAATTAATGGTGAGCAGTAAATTAAAGCTCACTTTAAGGATGATTCACTTTGATTGTAGTCTCTGCTAAACATCACTGGACCCTTAAAAAAAAAAAAAAAACAAAAAAAAAAAAAAACAGCTGAACTCTTCTTGAACTAGCCAGCTCAGCCTTCTCTATCCCACCATATCTCAGGATGAGGAAGACAAGAAGGAGGTCTGCAAAGTGCAGCATGCCCCCTTCAGGCAGAAGGTGGACATGCAGGCACGGTTTGAGCAGATGGCGAAGGCCAGGGAGGAACAAGAGAGGAAGAGGATTGAGCAACAGAAGTTACAGAGGATGCAGTTTGAACAAGAAGAAATTGACGCAGCGCTACAGAAAGTAAATGCTCCGTCTGGCCATCTTTAGCATACTTACTAAGGAGAATTGTGCTTTCAACCATTTTTAATTTTACAGAAACGCGAAGATGAGGAAGAGGAAGAAGGAAGCATCATCAACGGATCCACCACCTACGAAGATGAGGAGGACCATGCCAGGTCCGGGGCTCCTTGGTTCAAGAAATCCCTGAAGAACCAGTCGGTGGTAGACGGAGAGCCTGTGCGGTTCACGGTTAAGATAACCGGCGAGCCCAAACCAGAGGTGACGTGGTGGTTCGAGGGAGAGGTGCTGCAGGACTGTGAGGATTATCAGTACATCGAGCGGGGGCAGACACACTGCCTATACCTGCCGGAGACCTTCCCGGAGGACGAGGGCGAGTACATGTGCAAGGCTGTCAACAGTCGGGGTACTGCAGCCAGCACCTGCATTCTGATTGTGGAAAGTAAGTTCCGCCTCTTCTGACTGCATGCCCCAATGACATTTATCACCTGAATGTTTGTGGAATACATGCTCCTCCCCCCTGATCTGCATTATAACTTTGCTCTTCCTCCCTCTCTCACTGTGCCCCCCCCCCCCCTGCCAGCTGAGGACTATTGATGCCCATCACTGGAATTCTCTCCCTTGCGTCTTGTTTTAAGTCATGGAGGGGCCAAAAACACAGAATAACCGACATTAGAAACCATAATTCCACCAGTAAGTACATAAATGGGGGGGAAATACAGGCTCCACATTCTGGGTGCCAGTGTATCGGCCAACGATGTTGTCGGGGAACCTGCCGTCTAAGAACACCAGCATCAAAAGTGAACCAGACGGCCGGATGGGTACTGGGGAATCACTGACCAGTTGGAAGCATGCCTTCCTTCCAGTGACCTCTCCTCACTCCGTGTTCAGACTCCATCCACAAGTTAAATACTAGTCAAATGTGTTGCTATCACTTGTAAGTATTGGGGGAAACGGTTGTTTTTATAGGATTGTTGCTTGGTATACATAGTGTTGAGTTAGTTCTCAGTTGCTGCCTACAGTGATCCCTTGGAACACATGAAGTGGACTGAGAGCAGTGAGCAGAGGCACCGTCTTGCTGCCGCTCTTCCAGCATGTGGCGCTATGAGAACATTGTTTTTAAACAGGCTGACCATTTCAAATAAAATGAATGTGAAAGCAAGTCTCTGCTTCTCTCATGGGATTTACCAACTAGACCGCAGCCCACCCACCCACCACAGAGGGCTTATGTACCAAGGTGCGTCATGTAAAGGGGGAAAGTCAGGGTGAGTCAGGGCCACGCAGTTCCAACACGACAGAGGGGTCCTGCTCACCGCCTCGCTAGTGAGGGTGCAGCTAGGCAGAGTGTCCACAGGTTTGACATCAACGGCATCTGGACATCTTAGCAAAGGAAGGTCTTTCCAAGGCCCAGATTTGTCATCATTACAAGTTTATTTTGAACAAGTGAACAATGGTGAACAGTCAGGTCTAACATGGCAGTACAGGGGTAACACAGCAGAAGGTCATGATTTACCTCTAAGGTATGTTCCCTTTTCCATAATGCTCACTTAAGCTTCAGATTCTCTTCTTTAAAAGACCCCCCACGAATTCTCTGTTGAGAACTTTACTCAGAAGGAAACAGCATCTCTCACTGCATGCACACGAGACATGCAGCCAGACATTGGGCAACAGTTCACTTGCAAGGTCATACTTCAAGAGAGACAACATACTATCCAAATTACTACCAAAAACCTGTCACTAAGTCAAAAACAAGGATTTAGACATGGAACTCCGACTTCAGGGTTTCATACAACTGCTTATCTGAAGAAAATAATCTACATGTTCTAGCAGTTTTATAATAGACACCTATCATTTTATGGCATGGTACAGTTATTTGGGAGAAAAAGCAGGCATCAATTCAGATGTTACAAATATCACAGTCCCTAAACTTACAGCAAAGACATTTTGCAGTCATGACAATTCCTCAAATTTACCTTATACGGGAGCCCTTGAAGGGTCTATGTTCACCAGGACAGACTCAAAGGATTCCTCCTTAGGGACAACCTATCTCAGGGCCTGATTCTATGAACTATGCTTGCAGCATCTTCAACACTGTGTGTGAAAATGAAGGCAGCATTTTTAAATGGCACTACAACACGGGCATCACAGGATTAACACCAGGCATTGACATGATCACTGTGCTCTGCTTTAAATGTTCATCGTCCTGTCTGGCTGACATCTGAAAGCATGTGACTGCATGCAATTCTCAAGTGACATAAGACAAGAAATACCTACAAGTCTATGCATCATGGTCACACAGGGAGGATTGAAAATAAAGAGACTTACCGGGACACTAATGTACATAATACATAAAATGCACTGAGAAAACTGACCTATGTTACAGTGACAGAGGAAACAGCAGACATGGTCTGAACGCCTCACTGTCTGCAAGATCCCTTTCATCTGGTACAGTATTAAACGCCATGCATCTTGACAGCTTAGGTTTCATAAACACAAAGGCCGTTCTTATGCATTTCGCATCTGACAAGCAATTTAAAACTCTGAACGTTTTAAGGCATCACTGCTATAAAAAAAAATTACTCGTCTCAAAGGGTCTACATTATCTACAAATGCAAGTCAAAACAGATCCATCACTCACAGATCAAAAACACTGGTGTCCTTAGGTCATGCTTACCTGTATTACTGCAGCAGAACCTAAGGTGAAAGATCTGGGTCACACTGCAAAGATTAAATATTGCACTGTTTGCCATCAGTAAAAAATTCAGTTATTCATATAAGTCAATTTAACAGCCTCCAGTACAAAAAATGACTCCAAAGAACATCGGCATGTCAATTTCAGTTATGCTATCCGCACCGTACGGGTCTATGGTCCTCTGAAACTTCAGAACTATGTGAAACCAGTGCTCAGGAAGTACAGCAATACGCAAATCAGTCCGTCACATGCTAAAGGATTACAGGGCACAGCTGGGTCACAGAAAGACCACACTATTCTCTGCGTACAGAGAGGCCAGCAAGATCTATCCCCCTTAGTTAAACTGGGAAGACATGGACCTTTCAGTATTCCCTGTGAACACATGACAGTGAATACGCCAACATGAGAACAAACTCACATTTCAGAGATCAAAACAGAGAAAGGTCCAACCGGCAAGCATTCCTAAAAAAGGCGAACCAGGAAGCAGAGACAGCCACGTGGCCGGCTTGTGGGTTTGCCCGAGAAGCAAGTCACCATCCGAATTCACAAAATCCAAGAAACTTTCATAGGCAGTACTTTGCAGTTCAGGAATGGAATCACATGGAACCACAATTTCACAGGGTGCCTCTAAGCCCAGAGATACTTACCCACGGTCAGATGGGAATTCAATCATAATAAAAATACAGTTTCCAGGAGGACACACTAGACTTTTCATACATTGAAAGGTAAGGGGGGTCTTTAGCAGTGATTCAGCATGGTGTACTTACAGTGGTAATACCCTCTGAAGGCTGTAATCAGGGGGGGGGGCTGTCGGCACAGGACTGCTCACCCCTATAAAGCTATACGCCTACGCCGGGTGCATCTTCACACACAACAGCAAAGCAAAAACCTCCATTTCGCAGGCAATTTTAATCAGAGCAGAGATGCGTTTAAAAATTTGCCAGCAAATATACAAAAAAAGGCTTCTCTTTAAAAATACTAAAATTAGGGGAGACAAATCATCACTTTTGCAATCTCTGAATCACACATTTACCTGTGCTGCAAAAAAAAACAAAAACAGCAGATGTGCCAATATCTCCGAAATAACGTCACATTTCAGGGAACATTTTGTAAAAACTGTTGCTTACCGCTTTTCTAAACTTTCCTGTGAGGGAAGAAGTTGATTCTCTCATTACAAACAGCACAGACTACGCCATTGCAAAACAATGAGGTCAAGCACAGTACAGGACAGATGCTACAGTACCAGGTCATTGCGACTCTCTCAGCAACACTAAGCCAAAATGATCCGCTTATGCCTAAATTGAGACCACGGCCCAGCAGAGGACTAACTAAACCAATCACCGAAACATGAATCACGACATCACTGCAGTCAGAGGCGCCGTTTCAGTACAGATACACAACAAACGGTTCGATTATAAAAAAAAATAAAAGAACTGGAGGAGACAACACAGTGGAACTTTCAGTCAGCAACATGTGAACAGTCAGAACCCAGTGACCAGGCATCTTGCAAGATTTTACCCACATCTTTTTCACCCAACTTACCAACACAGGAGGTTTCATTTTGTTTTATTGCAAAACACAACAAGCATTTTAAAACGGAGATGAATTACATGGAAATTACTACAGTAATTATAAACATGAGCATTGACCACATGAAATACATGAGCTGGAATGTCCAAAACTATCATTACCACACTAAAAACAAACTGCTTATATTGTACAAGGGAGAAAAACCAAAACACAGCAAACAAAAAGAACCTGCCCCCCCCCACCCCCGCCAGGACTTGTAATCTTTCCTCGACACTTTAAACCAAAGAAATTAAGATCTTCATCAAGGCGTCTGCATCCAAACATTTAACAAAGGTTTTTTCGACAGTGAAGCAAATACTTTATGTCCACTTCACATTACTGGCCCTGTGCAGAGGAAATACATAAAAGATACATAAAGTGTTAACAAGTGGAGCAAACATTTACAGAAGCCTGTATGTGGGAGAGAAGGTAGTTAGTCGCAGAGACGCCGGCTCCTCAAGGGGGCGCCCACACCTAGGGGGAAAGGGTTAGCGGCGGCGCGGGCCGGCGGCGGCGGGGAGCGGGGCAAGCGGTACCTGCTGGGGGGGCGCGGCCCCCATGGCTTGGGGGCTGCCCTGTCCGTAATATGCCGCCTGCTGCCGGTAGTACTCAGCCCAGGCTGCACTGTAGTCCGGCTGGCCTCCTGCCGGGGACGCAGCAGCCGGCGCTGCCTGGGGAGCCGCCTGACCTGGAACAGGAAGCGAACGGGGTCACAAGGTCAGCACATACTTCCAGGTCACACAAAGCCACGATTCCGCTGAAAGCAGAGGAGCATGGGTAGCCTGTAAGGGAGGGAACGACCCCACCACCACTGTCTCCGGGTCGTGGGACAGAAACCCCCTGTGATACTCTCGGGCTGTGGGGCCCAGAGCCCCAACTGGAAAGGGCCTGATCTGCCCCAGCAGCCCGGCATGTGGCCCCAGGGCCCAAGGCGACGGCGTACCTTGCTTTTTGTAGTACTCCTCCCAGGCTTTAGTGTAGTCCTGCTGCGGCTGCCCCTGTTGACCTAGAAATGTGCAGGTAAGTTAGCCTTATCTCGCTACGCTAGGAAAGCTAACTAACTAAGCTATGAGCACTTACACGCTTCCTCTAACATCAACATGTGCATCCAGCATGCAGCTCTACTGCAAAACATGGCACATTTACAAGCGTATGTGCGACAGCTCCTGCTGGGTAGCTACTGCTAAAGAGGAGGTCCGACTCAACCTCCTCATCCTGTCTGCCCCAAACGGGACCCCACAACTGTCTGCTCCCCGTATGCTCTCCGAATCTACGTTTGGCAAAATATTTTATACCCAATTTCTTGTAATATTCTTCCCAGGCCTTGGTGTAATCTGTCTGTCCACTCTGACCTGGAGCCTGCGGGTCACCTGTTAAAAATGGCACAATTTTAATTGATAACCATTCTTACAGCTGCATATAAGTAGCCTGAACTGGCGTAGAGCTGCCCCTGACCCGTGGGGGTCAAGCCCCACTAAGACTGCGTTCAGTGAGCGTGCTGAACGTCACAGTTTGCCGCATAAAGGCCCCGGTCCCCGCGGGAAGGCGACGGCAAGCTTGGCGCAGGGGCCTCGGGGCCCGCCTCACCTTGCCCGTTGGTCTGTGCGGTGCCCGGCGCAGCAGCGGCGGGGGCCATGGGAGGCTGCGGCTGCTGCTGGTACTGCGAGTAGTACGCCGCCCAGGCCGCAGCGTTGGCGTCGGCGGCAGCCTTCCCTGTGAGAGACGAGGGCATCACCGGACCGGCCATCAGACAAGCGGGCTGGATCATGGGGCTTAAGGAACAAGTAGGACCGGCGGGGAGACTCACCAGGATCTGGCTGGCCTTGCTGCCAGTGAGGGAAGCCATTACCCCAACCCTGGGGCTGGTAGGGGGCAGGGGGACCGCTGTACAGGGGACAAGCAATCAGGCATGTCCCCAACACAGACACAGGCAAAGTGGAATACCGGGAACAGTAAGCAGGCTCTTACTGTGGTCCAGGGGGACCCTGGTTGTACGGCCCAGGGTTATAGGGTCCCATCGGGGCAGGAGGCCCAGGTGGTCCAGGTGGTCCGTGTGGAGAAGGTCCTCCATGTGGACCGGGGGGGCCGTGGGGACCGCCTATGGGACTGACGGGACCCTGGAGGACAGGAAGCTGGCACTCAGAACCACAGACCTCTGCCATGTACAGGATTTGGGGGGTGGAGGGGGGACACTCACCCCAATCTTCTCCTCCACCAACTGCCTGGCGTAGTCGATCTGCTGGGGGGAGCCGCGGATGGTGAAGATCTTGAGGTTGGGGTCAGTGTTGGGGGGGGGATTCCTCTGCAGCTCTACCCGAGCCCCTGACTGCTGGCTGATGCTTTTGATGGTCTCACCCCCTACACGGGAAGGTGTGCAGGTCAGACGGGAGCACGGGACTGTTTGTACACACGGCTACAGCCAGGGGGGGGCTCCACACCTTTGCCGATGATGAGGCCGGTCTTCATGGCAGGTACAGTAAAGGTGAACTCCTGCAGCCCCCCAGGGGGACCCATGTTCCAGTTGCCCTGTCCCCTGCCGCGGCCCCGACCCCCAGGCCCTGGGGGGCCGCCGGCCTGCACGCTCCTCAGCAAATCAGCGATTATCTCAGCGGCGTGCTGAGCCCGGTCAGGTGGGCCCATGATCTGAGCTATTCTCTCAGGCATCGACCCATCATCTGAGGGAGGGGAGGGGTCAGTTAGGTAAGCTCTTGCTCTTTAAATATCAGATCACAGCACACGCCAACACAGACCCTGCATTCACCTGGTTTAAACTGGATTCTGACTCCAGTGTCATTCTGGATCTTCTTGATCATCTCACCATTCCTGCCAATCACTATCCCGACAGCAAACCTCGGGACAGGGACCTGGGGACAGTCAGGGTACCATCACTGAGGAGACTGGGCCATCTTTAATTGGGCGTTCATCTTTAATTCATCATTTTGGGAAGATCCATATGAACTATAGCCACTTCAAATAGACCTTCAAAAGCACCTTTTGGTGAGAAAAGCAAGCAGAGGCTATACTCACGTCGAGCGTGTCACCCCCGCCCATGCGGGAGCCGTACTCGCCTCGCTGTTCCCGGAAGCCCTGATCCCGGATCAGCTCCATCACCATCTCTTTGGCTTGCTGAAATGATAGGACACAGTGAGCTCAGCACGGTCAGACCTCCCTCCTACCACACAGAGATGCTCCTACCTGGACCTTGAAAGGCTCCCCGGTAATCCTGAGAGGCTTGTCAGCCCCTGTGTTCTGAGGGCCCTCTTGGATCATAACCATCTTCACACCGGCACGTTCCTTGGGGGGGGGGGGGGGGGGGGGGGGGGAAAAAGGGGGCGGGGGGGTGGGGGGGGGGGGGGGGGGGGGGGGGGGGGGGGGGGGGGGGCAGCGGCACCAGCCTTTACCTGCAACTGCTTGATGGTCTCACCACCCTTCCCGATCACAAGGCCAGCTTTAGTGGCCGGGACGAGAATTTCCTGCACGGCCATCCCCTGCCCGTCGGAGTGCATGAACGGCTGGGGTCGGCCCTTCTCCACAATCTCCGTCAACAGCCTCTTTGCCGTCCTGCGGAGGATTCCGGAGATGGGACAGTGAGCGGGTCGGCTGTGGTTCACCGAGGCATGTGAAACGTGTGTTACAAATAGTACTTACTGGATTGAATCTGGGGACCCAGTCAAGGTCACAGCCCTCTCTGGTAGGCCGCCACTGTCTGGTCATCAAAGCAAAAAAAATGTGACTCAGAGACTTAAAGAACGGAGGATGCTGGACTGAAGCAGAGGCTGCAGACTCACCTTGGGCAATCTGTATTTTGCATCCGGACTCTTGCTGCAGTCGCGATATCTGCTCACCCCCCCGTCCAATAACTACGAAAAGGGAAAGTTTCCAGTTTTAAAATGGACTCCTGCAATACGCTGCAAACCACGACAGGAAGAACACTTACTGAATCCAACCATCCCGTCCGGAACCTTGAACTCCTCAGAGGTCGACCTACAAACAGCAGGCGTGCCATTAAAAACAAGTCCCATGTGGAGAGACATCACCACTCTGCACAGAGATACGACAAGAGCAACTATCCTTCTTACCTGGGAGCAGAATTCATGCCCCCCATTACTGATGAGAAAGCTGTGGAGAAGCAAAGGGCCTTGTTAGAGCAGGAAGAGAGAAATCAAGCCACTTGGGGGGGGGGGGGGGGGCAGAGACAAACACCAGCTTTGTTGACCAGAAAGCACTGGACATTAACACAAACCTCCACCATCGCCACAAAGCACAGAGACACTTACGGTCGCTCTGCGAAGCCATTTTCTTTGTTTCCGGTTGATCTGCAGACAGAGGGGAAGTAAAGGGCACGTCATAGAGTGCCTTCCTGTCTGCTCACAATCCACCCTAAAGTACGGCCCTGGGGTCGAAAGGGAGACCGGCCGCCCCATCCCGCCTTCAAACACCACCACAGAATTATCTAATAACACTGGGGGGCGGGGGGGGCTAGACAAGTAGAGCCAAAGACACATGCAGTTTTGATTTAACGTTAAGAAGCGAGGTGCTATGGGACTTGACGGCTATTCTTTCAAGGCCAGGATCTATCATTGCAATTAAAATCCACAGTTTAGTGTCACGGGTGAGTAGTTTCAGCCACATTACTCTGCTGGGTGTTTACACTCTACATTATGACATTCTGCATCACTTTCACTAATTCAGTCGAGAATCATGTACAAAAAAGAAAACAGACAGGAGAGGCACTTTTTACAGGCATGCTACATAAGGACCTGGTGTAGGACACAAGCAGATACACACAAAGGTGTCCTAATTAGCTGCCTCTGGGAAACAACACACCAGGTCTGGAGAGAAACACATTTTTAACGTGCCCATTTTAACGATTAACGAGCGAAAGATTCCTGCCTGTGAAAGAAGACTGAAATCCCTCCCAGTGTGTTCTACTGCTCAGACTTGTCCAAGAGTCATCTACACACAGATAAGAACATAACAACAGGGTCAGGCGGAGCGGCGGGCCGGCCTGTCCTCACGGGACACAGGCCTCTGCACTGGAGGATTAAGCACGGCGTTAGCGCAAAGACACATGGAGCAGGGCTCCCCGCGGTCGGATCGAGGGGGAAGCCTGCGGGGACAGGCCGCACACAGCACGAGGGGGCACCGGCCGCATTCGCAGTCAGAAACCGCCGGGTTAATAGCATTAAAAAGCTTACAAAATTAATGAAGCCGATCATAAGAGTAAAAAAACAGCGAAGTGGTAACGGGGCACTACTGAGATAAGGCGAGAGAGACGCCGTCAGAGACGGTGCGCCGGGACGGGAATACCAGCAAAGGCCGCAATCAGAGAAAAAGGGCGAAAAGAGCGGAGACGGACACCCACCGGCATCCTCCAGGGGCCTCTTCTGGCCGCCGTAGCCGAACTCGTTGGCGACCGGAGGGGGGGGCACACCACCGTCTCCTCCTATTTTTGCAGCAATCTGAAAGAGGAGAAAAAACATCAACCGCAGCCCCAAATCTATTCATAGCACCAAAGAGCTCGGTCTCCATCTTTTATCCGCCCCTCCCGGGCGCAGAAAGGCCTCCTCGGGGCCCGCGGCAGCTACACCGGGCCTGGCCAGGCCACACCGAGCCGACCGTGCCCGCCGTCCATCACCAGGCCGGGGAAACTCGGCCCGAAAGATAAAAATTGGGGGTCTCGGCGCCCACATCGGATGTTTAAGCGGAGAAAGCGGGTCGGTGGGGGGGGCTATGCGGCGATCTCTTTGTTGGGCTGCTGAGGCTCCTTCGGCCTCGTGCTCCGCCAAATATGCCGATATCATTCGAAAAACACGGATAAGCTCGAATATTACACGTAACAACCGCCTTGCCTGCCTGGCGCGCTGCAGCGCATCCTTAAAGGCGTCGTTCACCCCGCCGCCCGAGTTGGAGGACGGAGGAGCCACGCTGGAGTAGTCGGCCATCCTGTAACGATACCGAGCTTCTTGTGGGGGGGAAAGAGACAAGATGGCGGCTTAAATGTAAACGAACGGAAAGGACTGCGACACTGAGGGGAAGGGGGCGGACCCAGGCGTACCGCCGTCCGATAGGTTGTGGGCGCTGTCTGTCAGGCCTCGGGGGCGGGGCAAGCAGGGCGTTCCTCCCCGCTGGTATGCAGGGGATTTTGCAGAGGATATGCTCATTGCTGCCGTATGAACTCGCCTTCGTTTTTGGTATTGCAGTCGGGTCGATAACGCAGATGTGGCCTATTCATACGGGCTCGGATAACGGCAAGCGGTTATTGCTCGTTTTAAGCGACAATGCCTGCAGAAATGCCAGTGTTCTTGTCATGGTTCCTAATTATGTGGACAAAGTCAGATGCTTAGGTGGGTGATTGTGTTGAAAAATCATAACCGAAGGCTAGTGCAAGATCTGAGGCCTACTGCCACCCATATTACTGCGAATGCATTCAGGGTGGAAAGAGACTTATTTTAAAGTGTGGCTAGTTCCACGTGTCACCCACTGAGAGTGACTGTTGTTATTTAGACAAAGGTAGAAATAACTAAAAAATAAAATACCCATGCTTGAATACTCATTTGAAAACAGAGAAGAAGCTCTGTCTTTGAAGAACACTTACCTCTCATTGTTGAGAGAGAGAAAATGATCATTTAATCCCCGTATAAAAAGAACAACATGTGTCATACAGAGAGAGTAGTGGAGTGCACTGCAAGATAAAGCTGTAATAATGCATTAATACTGGTAGAGCAGCGCATAAAAACATGAAGTCAGGCTTCCTTTTTACGTTAGTTTGTTTTACAGCTAAGGCTGCATGTGCAGCTAGTATGTTTGTTATGCACTGGAAAGCAACTTTAATTTAGCAAAGCCTACCCCCCATCCCACGTATCTGCTCACCTGCTGTGCCATGAGGATAGGGGGCTGGGGGGCAGGGAGCACTCCCCCACATGGATTGCAGACAGGTGAAGAAGTCTGTCACCAATTATTCTACACAAAAATCCTTTCCCCTCTGCTGACCGGGCGCCTAAACACGCGATACTGCTTCAGCTTTTCACATCTGACCCCTCCCCCAAAACGTCACCTTTCATATTGATTTCACAGTTACCGCAGTGCATATAATCGGCATGTGGCACTGAACGATGACAGCCATTCCTACAAAGACACTACGAAGCAGGAATAAGCCAAGATGCCACCAATAAGCTGAATGCCTGCTTACAAAACACACACAGAGTCTGCGTATATTTTTGTTTCCAGGAATGTTTATCTTCACTGCACGTGTGCATTTATAGGATAAATCTTGTGATGGAAGCGGATGCCTTCAGTTCCCAGCATGAACGGCCATTTGAAGCGGAAATGGAACAAAGATGTCATTCTCTCAGCAAACGTGTTGATTTCGGCACTTACAGATTCATGTATAACAGGACGACAGGCCATAAACAGGCAGCTCTGAACCCAGGACACACCTACACACCAAGATCAGGGCTAATATTGCAGACTCAGTGCAAGAGCAACACTCCCACCTCACTGCTCTCTTCATGTCTCATTCAAATGTCTTTTATTTATTAACCCATTACACACTGGCAGAGATGTTTCTCTGTCACCCGTCTCTTCGGAAAGGTGGAATCTCATATACTTTTATTTCCTAATAATAAAGCTGAGAACATGTGGTGGAGTTTCTGTCTGTCCATCATCCACCATCATCCAACCGCTTGTCCAGGTCAGAGTCACATGGGAGCCTGGAGCCAATCCCAGGCAGCACAGGGGACAAAGCTGGGGGACACCTGGACGGGATGCCGGCCAATCATGGGGCACAAGGCTGGGGGACACCTGGACGGGATGCCAGAATCAGCAGTGTACGTGAATAATACCATCATGTACCAAATTCAGTAAAACAAATAACTTAATGTTGTAAAATTATATGTCAGCATATCAGTGAAGTTTATCATGATGGTGAGAAGTGTTTCTCACTATTATTAAGCAGCCACTATTTCACTTTTCTGTGAAAAATCACATAATCTGAGTTTGACATGATTTTGTGAAGTTTCAGAATTCAAATCCAAGAACTTCTTTGGTGGCTTTTGGCTCAGGAACAGGACATCCTGTATGTGACACTTGATGATGGATTACAGTTATCCCTCCGCCTCTGCACTGAGGACCTCAGCAGACACAGGCCAGCAGCACTGTCACACATCCGAGGAGAGCAGTCGTCCAAACACTGGTGTCAGAGTGTAGTTTAAAATGGCACATGGGAGTGCTTTAACAAAACTCGCCCCCATTCCATTGTAAAAGCCCCGAATCCCAAATGCTGCATAGATACTCTGGAGTCCCCGAAGTGCACTGGAAGCCTCGGGATTCACACTAAGAGCTGGAAGACAGACAGTTGCAGATGATGAAGTCAGCTGAAATTACAAGGCCAAGCTGCAAACATCTGCACAACAGGAATCGGCTTCCGTTCATCAGGCTCTGCACTGGGAGCGCCCAGGTCAGCCCCAGGCTGCAGTACCTTGAGCTTGCTGCTGGGTCCTGATTACCGCCAGGGGGTAGCTGGCTGTCTGTCCGCACGCAAAGGCCACAAAGCTAAAGAAGAATAGCTTGGACTCATCACTGTTGGCTGGATCGGTCTTTGCCCAGCTTATAATTGACTGCAAGGAGATAGAAGACAACACAGAGGAGATTACAATGGCTATTCGGTGATGCTGTACTTGGTTCTCAACACAGAGGAGATTACAATGGCTATTCGGTGATGCTGTACTTGGTTCTCAACAGAGAGGAGATTATGATGGTTATTCAGCGATACTGAACTCATATTGCATTCCATCTACCTTAGAGGTCAGAACTTGGAACTCAGAATGACGTCACACACGAGTTAATAACATTCCAGTATAGCAAGTCGGAAAGCCGTTAGTGATACCAGAGACCCAAAATGCAGGATTTCTTGCTTAACCAGATAACTCGACAGATTTAATTTACCCCAGTTTAAATGGCCTTTATCTTTGTTCACTTACATGCAGTCAAACTGCCTTAAATCTGACAAGCTTTCCAGCTAACCAAGAAATCCCGCTTTGTGAAACAGGCCCCATTTCTAGCCCAGTTAATTGTTAGCTAATGTTAGCAATATCATTTGGTAACAACACATTATTATTTAGTATTTTGTGCATACAGACACCGTAGTAACATGTCCCCAGACCTAAGTACTAATAAACAGTAAAAAACTAATGTGAAGGGCTCAGCCATCGTGAATTCTGCGGTCGGGGGTGCAGACGTTCCGCTGATTTTCCAAGTCAGAATTCCAACTTCAGGGGGCATTCCAGTTGAAATTTCCGACTAGAAACTTGGAATTTATTCATTGAAATGGAACGCAGCATCAGTACTTAGCAGAGAGAAGATTATGATGGCTATTTTGCAATGTTGTACTCAGTACTCAGGTGAGACAGACCTGCTGGGTCATCCTACATTCCTGTTCTTCTTATTAAGGTTTCCTTATAATGTCACCATTTTCTTTGGTGGGAAAAATGACCAGAAAGGCCCCTCTATGCAAAGAGTGAGACTCCACCGGTAATCTGCTGCAGAAGCCTGTGGCTGAAGCAGTGCTGCTGTGACGACCTGCTCTCCCCGGATGCCGACCCCGGCCGCTCACCTGATGCACGGCACATTCCACTCCGGCGTACGGGATCATGCACATGACGCTGGGCCTGAAGCCCCTGTAGAAGGCTGAGAGCCGCTCGCTATGATAAAGAGCTCTGGCACACCCCAAAACCCCGGCGGAGGTGCCAGCTGGCTGAAGATTCAGCCTCACCTTCAACACCTGGGGGAGAAGCAGGAAGTGACCATCAGCCGGTGCTTCCATCCAAACAAAAGGCGTCCTTTCCCATCCAGCATGCCTCAATAGCAATGCCATTTACTGCATAAGCATCCCATCCACCCCCCCCCCCCACACACACACACACACACTCACTGACAAAATCACCCTTGTGTTAATGGCCAATCTGCCATCATGTAAAATGCAAACAGCTGCCAGTTAATTTAAGATAATGATGGCAGTCATGCATTTCCTTAAGCACGCTTGGTCACTGCAGAATCCATACGTTGCAGTCACAGAAACAGGCGGCAGACTTACTGTTCAGACTGAAGCAAATCCCGATCATATATGTTTTTAAAAATTGCATTTTTGATCTTGATCTGTCATGGTTTCCTAGTCAGCTGCTGCCAGCTGAGCACAGCGCAGGCAGATTGCTGTTTAATGGGAGGATCCCATCCCTCGTGTGAGTGACCTGCCGGCGTGTCTGCATGGACATACATGTACATAAACTATAGGCAGAGGTGGAAAGTTCAGGTCCAGAAAGCAAAAATCCAGACCAAGATTTTGTTTCAACCAACCAGTTGAGTATGAAGAGTCATAGTCACAGAGTATGCAGCTAATTGGCTGAAACAAAATCTTGGCCTGGATTTTTACTTTCTGGACCTGAATTTTCCACCTCTGCCTTCAAGTATTTTTGCTGAGGACTTTCCCAGGCTCACTAACACTGGGATCAGCTCAGGCTTCAGCTGACATCCAAATGGCCAGACACCCTGCAAGCCGGTACTGGGGACAGAGCTGGTACCTCCAGAGGGTAAAAGATGGCATGTGCAGCTGCCCCAGACAGACAGCCCAGCCCAAATCGCTGTGGCACGGTCAGGGAGTGCTCCGCAGCCTGTGTGTGCGCTTTGATCTGAGGAGGTGTGCAGAGGGACAGGACCATATCTTAATATAGCCACCAATCACAAAATGAGGCTAAAGTGAATCATCACCTAATGAGTTCAGTCCTATTGAGGAATTGCTTGAAAATGCACCTGGTTGTAGATGACATACTGAAGTGTTGACTGCGGTGTCCCTTTAAGGACGTTCACCATGTTTCCTTGCCACATGGACTTGAAAGCTCCAAAGCGGACTTCCTTAAAGCTGGGCGACATGGCTTTGGATCCATACACCTGAACACTCAGACCAGAGCAGAATGATCAGACGGGTAGAGGCTAACAAATGATACAGAATGACACGGT